CAGCCTGTGCTGGTGGCAGCCCTGCGCCCACCCTTTTCTGAAGTGGGGACCGAGTTGGGCTTGGCGCGCAGAAAAGCAAATCTCGCTCTGGCTGTGTTTAGTGGGAGGCGTTTGCTCGTCAATCCTGATGTTTTTGCGACTCGCAAAAAGAGAAAACCGTTTTTGAGAATTAATTTTTTCGGTGGGTAGATATTAAATGAAAGATGTCAAATAGTGAAATTACAGTCTTTTTAGAATAAGAATTTCAGTGTTTGTTTGATACTTAGGAGTTTCAGGGTGACCCCTGACTAATAAAACTAATACTTGTTTTGGTGCGGATTTTTCCCTCTTCAGCTACCATGGAGAATAATGAAAGTCATGCTAAGGATGTGAAGAGCGCCTCGGATGAAGATGACAGCAGAGACGTAGTTCAACAGAAAACTCGGGAAGAAATTCTCTTTCATGAGGAAACCATTGATCTTGGTGGAGATGAATTTGAGTCTGAAGGGAATGAAACCATATCAGAAGATTCAAATAATTTTGTAGATAAACTTAATGAACAAATGATGGAGAGTGTAATTATTTCAGATTCTCCAAACAACAGTGAAGATGACACAGGTGAACTTGGTTGTCTCCAGGAGATTGTAGAACAAATGGAAGCTAAAGATAATCAAAAAAAACAAGCAGAAGTGGATAAAGAAGAGTTTTTAAGTAATGAGAGTGAAACTGAACATGAAGAAACACCCAAAGATGTTTCTGACATTGGAACAGATGATCAGGCATCTTTAAAGGAAGAATCAATTCAGGAATCAGTGAAGGAGGAACCAAAATTGGGAAACAATGTTCCTGTTGAAACAAAACCAAATGATGTTGATGAAAGCGAACCTAAGGACCACATACCATCACCCAGTACTGGCAAACCTTCTTCTGAGGCTGAGCCTATTCCTGTGTGTACCATCTTCAGCCAAGCAGACAATGTTAATACCCAGCCACAGTTGTTCCTACCTGACGGTTTTGAGCCTCAGATGGTAAAATCTCCCAGTTTTAGTAGTATAATTGAGACTCCAGTTAAGTCTAATCCACAGGTGGTTCAACCAAGTCCTAGTCTAAGCAAGTTCTTTGGTGATACTGTTAATACTAATACTTTAGCTTCTGATTTTTTTGATTCATTTACCACGTCCAATTTTATTTCTGTTAGTAATCCCAATGCAAGCTCTTCAGTTCCAGAACAAATGTCCTCCCTTTCTAATGGTGGAAACAGTTCTTGTGCTTCATCTAACCCTATGTTCTCTGTGCGAAATGGGAGACCTGAAGCAGGCAGTCCTCTATCATCCCTAGACATGACTCAATCCCCCAAGCCATTCTCACAAATCCAAGCTGTTTTTGCTGGGAGTGATGACCCATTTGCCACAGCCTTAAATATGAGTGAACTAGATAGAAGAAATGATGCTTGGCTTCCCAGTGAGGAAACCAGAAATGTTCTAATTTCAGTTGCCACACAACAATACAGCACCATGTTTATAGATAAAGAGAATCTCACCATGCCTGGATTAAAATTTGATAATATCCAGGTAAGAGTCTATTACTGTATCTTAGTGTATGATAATATTTTGGAAATATTGTATAAGAGTTGTCCAGTAATCTATATATTGTAGTGCCTTGTATTGTTGCTGATGGTCACCTTGTGTAAGTCACTTCGGTCCTCAGTAGAAATTTGATGTTGCTGCTTACTCATATATGAAGGGGCTAAAACCACGTCTGATTTATTCGTACTGAAATTTGTTGGGTGCATTGAAAACCAGTGTTGACAGTTTCCATGGAAACCAAAGCTGGTTGTATTTTTAAGTAGTTTGTTTCTGGTCTTCCTGATTAGTAAGATAATGCTCACATTTGGGATATATACAAAATCAGTGTGCTGTACTGCAAAGCCTGAAAGCAGACAGCTTTGCTTGTGGAATTTGCTGTTGCAACCGTGTGGGAAGTAACATTTTTCGCTGATGTTCACAGTACTCTCAATAACATTAACATTGACTGAAATCACATCTTTTGTATCTTCCCTAAGCAGTGGAAGGGTATAACCTATAAGAAAGATTTGAGTGCTGGAGCAAGCTACTGGGAAGGGATAAGCCCAAAATTAAAGGAAAAACTCTAGATGAGATCATGAAGGAAGAAATATAGTAGTGGAAACTCATTTCTTCTCTTCTATCAGAGTTCCCAACTGGTGAGAAGGCATAAAGCTTTTGTTCAGAATTTGAGAATTTCACTGGGATCTTTTTGGTATTTCTTATAAAGCAATTTTATCCTGGCTGCTTAGCCGAGGCTAACTATTGTAATGGAATTTTTTTCTTGAAATAAGCTCATCCTACGCTTTCACATCTGTATCTCTGGATAATTGAATTGTTGTCTGGAGAGATGGTGTCGAGGGTTTGGATACTTTAATCCTTAATTTTAGCTAACAAAGATTATCAGTTGATAATCAAATACAAGTAGAGAGCAGTCTTCAGTAACTGCCAAATCTGCAGGAACTGTCAGAAAAGTTTCTGGAGTGAATCAAGTCCAGATGTGTAGCTGAATTATCTGATACATCTTAGGTTTTTGTCACAAGCAACAAATGGTAGCAGTTCTAGACATATGCCATGCTGCTGCTACTTCTTGGGTTAGCTTTACCTTAAAACGTTTGTTGTCACAGAGCCCCATAATTAGTGTGAAAGAAAACACTGGATTAGGAAGCTACTCCTTCTCCACTCCTTCAAAAAAGTAGAAGGGTCCTTCCCACTTTCCCCCCAAAATCCCTTAGACCTTGATGAGTAAGATTGTGCAGTGTTTCTCTCCTAGCAGCTAATGGCATGGACAGAAGGAATGATCCCTTCTGCAGGTCCCGGGGATGAGGGCCTCCTTATTGCAGGCCTTCTTTTTTACAGTAGTTGTCTCTCACTTTCTTTGCCCAGTCAAGGATTAAGGCTTGTTTGTGCTGATGATTCCCTGAATCTGGGTACGTGCATATATGCAGATCTACCATTTAGTACATAATTGAAAAGATATTATGGCGATGTCGATGTGATGTGTTTTTACAGTAAGATCTGATGTAAAATCATCAATGGAATTAAAGGGCACTCCTGCTGCTTTCTTCATCGATTATAAGCAGTCACAGAGGTGCATCAGCAAGGACAAGGTTTGAGGTGCTTTATGTTTATACAGCTTTCCTCACTTCCAGTTACTGCTTTTCAGCGGCCTGAGCATGTGCCTTGACTGACCTGACATCCCCTAGTTTGGTATCATTGTTTCATATGCTTCTAGTACTGCAAATTGTATATTTAACTGAAACTATAATTGTAGGGTACTTGAAATGTCAACTGAAACATTGTAGGAGGCATGTTTTCAATGTTAAATCAGCTTCCAACAATGGTCGTTAAAGCTTTGAAATGAATAGTTTGCTAATGCTAAATGTTAATGCAAGATGTTAAACCAGGCTGCATGCAGTTGACAAAGGAGTCAGTTGAAAAGTGCATTTACAGTGAACTGTAAGTGTGCTTTAAGGGAGGACTGAAATTTTGTATGATGTGTATTGAAGAGCTCAGTACTTTTTTTTTTTTTTCCCCCTGCTCACTCCGAAAGTGTTTGTTCTTATTACAGGTGTGTTATCTTAAAAGTTAAGTGGATAAATCACACCAAGAAAAAGACTAAATGGTCTCGATTTTTAGCTGTGCTGCTTGCTACTTTTTGCTGATCATTCAAGAAACATTATTTTTTAAACTATCTTGGATTGCATATGGTATGGATTATTTGTACCTGTGCTCTCTGAGTGTGGGAACAAGTTTGAATACTGCTTTTTATGCCTTTTCCATTATGCCTTTCTTCATCAGTTACTGTCTGCTGTCATTATGTCCTTAGTTTGATTACATTAATTTGTTAATGTTTCCTCCTCAAAAGTATGGTAGGGGGAATTAAAAATTCTTATGTATTTATGTCATTTTGCACACACTGTCTTTTCTTAATCCTTCAGACTCTTCTGTCCGAAAGATGGAAATCTTGTTTATTCATAGGATAAGTGACAGCATTAGAGGTAAAAATTTTCCATGTAGTGAAACAGTAGTTGTAGTCTCATTCCTCAAGAAACTAGACTGAAAACACAAACATACTTCCTGTCGTTGTCCATTGGGAAAGTGCAAACATTTAATACCAGTTACCTTTATCATAGCTAAGCTTTACTGTATTTTATGCAGCTCACCTCTTTTTAGGCAAAAACATTGTGGCTTGCTTCCTGCTCTCTGTGCTAACAGCTTCTTACTTCAGTTCTTCAAGTGAACGTTGTCATGTTCCTTTAGAGGGATTTTGTAAATATTTCTTTGTATGCTTACATTTTTGCATAGTCACTTTCTGCATTTCCATCTTAAATATTGCATGCTCTTGTAGTTACTAGAGGTCTGAAAAGATATAGTGGAATTACATTGCAGAGAGAGGAGGAATGGTGAGAAGTACAGAGGCTCTCTTGTGAGTGGTAGCTAAAAGGAAGAGTACCTTTTGGCTTACAAGAGCAATAATAATCTAAAATTCATAAAAGAATTAAGGTAAATAGAGGATTATGAGCTGGTTTTTGTGGCAAAGGAACTGTTGAGTAATAAGCATAACAAAAGGAGTTACTGTTCTTCAACCCATGTAACTGTTTCTAAGTTGTAGTATTCGTTGCCCTCAGATGTACGTTTGTTCAGAAAAACAGACTGAAAAATGAGCAACACAGGTATCATGGGAGGTATATCTGTCAGTGGGTGTTAAAAATGGTAGGCAAGTACGTCCCCTGGCACAGGTGGGCCATAAAGTTCTGGCTGCTTTAAGTTGGGAAAGACCAGTATGAGCTTATCCTGTGCCTTAAGCTGTTTGCGCGGACATCTGCTATTCAACGACAGGGTGGTGAACCAGACGGGTCTATATTCTGGCTGATGTGAGTTATAAATTGTTTTCTGTTTAAAAACAAAAATATAAATATGTTGTCAATATGTTGCTGGTAATTCGCCTTATTTTCAGATGTTTGCTTTTCTAAATTAAAAATGCTTAAGAATGTAAGATTGGCAAAAATATTACAGAAGTGATTTCTGTTACCTGCTTTTGGAATGTGGTGAGTTCTGACACCATAGGGGATTCTCTTGTGTACAGTAATATGTACAGTCCCAGCAAGGCTAGGACCTTTCCCCATCCCCCGCACCCTATCCTACACTCTGCATTGGCAGACACGGTGCCTGAAGAGCGTGCAGACAGGAGTAGCATGTTTTTCAACATCTGACTACGTGTGGTCCACAGTTTTTCAGTAGCTTCTTGACTTTAAGCTTGAATTTCTTGATTATCTGTTGAAAATCTCTCGTACGCAAAACCACAAGGGTGTCAGCCAACAGACAGGAAGGCACAGAAATTGATAGTTGAACAAAGGTTAGAAGGGGAAATTGAGGCACAGAGGGTGCCATGTACAGAGTTACTCAGTTTACAGCTAGCAAAGCTGGAAGTAGAACCTGGGTTTGGGCACTCTTCCTCTTAGCTGCTCCGTGTCATAAAATGTAGAATTAATCTTGTCTAACTTTAGAAATTTGTTTCAAATGTCGATGTCTCAACTAGTCTCAAGTCTTCAAATTACTGAGCTCAGATAACACAGTTTCTCTGGCTCATTCCTGCAGTTAATTCTTTTGAAATTAAGAATACTTGTTGAAGGGTTGCTGTTTATTTGGTTTATGATCTCTCAAAGTTTATTTTCTGCAGATACAGCTAGCTGATCATGTGCATGTTTATCTTCGATCAGTAGGATGCACCTTTCAACATTTAATATCCATGAAAACCCTTAAAACTTACTGTGTTCTATAAGATCTTTGAGGAGTATTTTGTAAGATCTTTGAAGGATAATAAAATGAGAAGCAAATAAGCCTGAATGTTTCTATGCTAACTGAAACTTAAACATTGAAAAAAAGAATATAGCAAATAATGTGGAGTAAATCTAGACGTTTTCATTAAAATGCTGTAAATATATATTCATTTATATTCATTTCACACACAAAGTACTGGAAGATAAGCATTTCTCAAGGGGAAGGAACAATGTTGCTCAGCTTTAATTCAACGTTTTATTTTGCTAAGATAATGTTTAAAAGTGTCTTGTTATGTTTCTTTTTCTGTTCCATGAACACCAAGGGAGATGCAGTAAAAGACTTAATGCTTCGCTTCTTGGGGGAGCAAGCTGCAGCGAGGAGACAAGTTTTAAACGCCAACTCTGTAGAGCAGTCATTTGTAGGCTTGAAGCAGCTGATTGTAAGTAACAGTCTTTGTAATTCAATACGTATTAAATACCATGCTTCTCTCAAGAGAATTGGGAGCTACTGACTGTCAGGAGAAAGTTAAAAAAAAAAAAAAAATAAAAAAATAAAAGTCTTGATATCAGGCTATTCATGATCCTGCAAAAGTAGTAGCCCAAGTACAGTAGTTTTTAGTGGCAGGGACACTGGGGGTTAGACATTTGGTTTTAAATGATGTAGTAAACTTTTTTTAATATGCAAAAGTTAGACAAAATGTAATTTTAAGTTACTGTGAATTTTATCAGCTGTTAACTTCTGTGTAATGTAAAAACAGATTTTAATTGCTTTTTTGTTTATCTGCCTATGTATTCTTTGTTTTCACCTTAGTGTTTTACAAAAAGTAACACATACCAGTTACTGTAAAGCGAAACTGATGCGATTATTTCAACTGCTTTAATTTTTTATTTCAGTGCAGGAAAATGAAACTTAATTACTTCCAAATGAAAGCGAAATTTTTCTCCAAGTTAAAACCCTTTCTTTAGTGTAAATATTTTGTACCTGGAAACAGTTGCATCTAGCAGCCTTGTGAGCCTTGTGCTTTTAACCATTGTGTTCCTGTATGAAACTCATTGCTATTACATGACTGAGCCTTACTGAATCTGTTGAAACGTTAAAATACTTTAGGCTTATTTTATTTTTGAAAAAATGGATGCAAAATTACTGAGGAAAAGCAGTGAGGAATTACAAGTGTTAGGAAGGTCTGTATTTAGTATTAAACATGTTTTAATTTGTGCTACATTAGATGTAAAGCTCTAAAAGAGACATTTTTGTTGTGTTGGGAAAACTCGAGGTAGTCTCCGTAGGTGTTGTTAAAGGAATTCAGATGTGATTTTGGAAACAAAACATGAAAAACAGATTGTGATCTCTATCCTGGAGATAGGTATTTTTCTTGTTAAGAAAAAATGTTTCTTAATAAGAAATCTTTGTCCTTATCAGTGTCTTAAGTAGGAAAAGCCTTTTCCCGCACTTCTTTTCCTTCTTCCATAAGTTCTGACGTACTGAAATATTTTTGTTTGGCTGGTAGCTGTGTCCATGCAAAATGTTCTTCTACGCTGCAGACTGTCTTGTACCGTCTATACTGTGCTGCCGCTGATACTGTTTTAGCTCCGAATGTGCTCTTAAGCTCCAGAAGGCAGCTTAAGGCTTTTAGGATCAAAGCAGAGAAGACAGGAGTTGCAGATTTTTTTTAAAACTTGTCTTATTAGAACAGTGTTCTATAAAATTGCAGCCATTCAGCTAGAAGTCAGGATGTTCTTCAGCTTTCAAGGCTTCCAACCATTAGCTGCTGATTGTTCTTGAGTATGCAGTATAACTATTTCTCAGTCTCGTTTGCAGAACGCTGTTTCTTTTTATGATAAGAATTAGTTTGGTTTTGGTTTTTTACCTTGCAAACATTGCTGTTTTTTCTGAAATTCTTTAATGTGGAAAATGTATTTCTAATTGGTAACAATCTTAAAGGTAAGAAGTAATTCAGACTTAGAAACATTAAAATCCCATGCGAGATTATATTAATTAAAAATGTTTATGGTTTTTACATACACAGGAGGCCAGAATGTGCTCTGTTACCAACCACCAATTTTACTTCCTTTATGAGTGAATTTATGACCAAGTATGTTCAGTGAATACTTCTTCTCATGCAAAGGACCACTTACAGGGAATATTTTCATTAATATCTGGATAAAAACTGGTGAGGTTTGGAATAGCACTATTTAACTTTCCTTGAAGTTAAGATTATTTTTTTTTCCTGGGCTGTTTGGTTGGTGTCCATATGAACTACACATGAACATGAGAATTAATGAGATCATTTCAGTCACCCAAGTCAATCCCTTGCAGCAATGGACGGCAACTTAAAGGAGTCTATTTCAAAGGAGTCCACAGTACAGAAGAGAAGTGCTTTGAATTAGGATAGACTTTAGCTTCAGACTGTTACCTATTATTTAGGTGTTTACATGTGAGCTGATGTCTGAACTTTTAAGTCAAAAGAGATCTAATCAGTATAGTTACTGATCACATCTAAATTTAGATGTGTAAATCTGGGATCCCATCTAAAAGTCTCAAGAGCTATGACATGCTATAGGAAGACACCAGTGGCAGCTGAAACCAAAAGTGAATGTCAAGTCCTGTTATGAAGAAATTTATTAAAGATTAAAATTCTCACATGATCTTGGATGAATACTATCTTATTGTGGGAAGGAAAGAAAAGGAGAAAAAAAAAAAAAGGCAGTATTCTGAGCCTGTCTGCTCCAGAGGAAAATGCTTCCTTTGTATCTAGTTACTGTATGGATGGGAAAAGCATGCTAAATAGTTCATCGGTATCCCAGATCTTCATGCCACAGGTCTTCAGCTGCAACTCTGGAGCTCCTCTATTCTACCATGCAATTGCTTCTGTTAGGTTATTTGGCTGTTTTAACAAATACAGATACATTGCTACCACTTTCAAAGGCTGTTCCAGACCTTCATTCCTTTGGTGGTTAATCAAAGGAATTCTAATCAGCCCTCTCTCAAAATCTTCTTTCTAATCAAAGATAAAGTTGTTTACAACAATTTAAGCGTTTTGATCTCATGTTGCTTTTTAAGTCATTTTCTATTCTCAATATTTGCTTCCTCTCCCCTGCTACTTTATATGGGTAGAAGCAGTGACATTTCCACTTCTCGGATTTTCTTTCGAAAGATAAAAAACTCTTCTCTAGTCATCTCATTATGGATGTCTTCATAATCTTCCAAGGAGCTCTTCTCAGCATCTCTTCCAATTGAAACTAACATCTTTTTATTATCACTGTCCAGAACTCAACACATTGTATTGTGTCTTTCCATGTTAATGATTGTGTTTTACCTTTTATATTATTCTGATATTTTAAATCATCTGATCCCTGTTTAGTGATGTCTTCCTTACCTATATTGACAATACTTCCTAATCTACAAATGCAGATACCAGCTCTGTTCACCACGGTCACAAAAGAGTTTCTTAAATTGGATTGACTCCAATGTACATTCTTGCATAATAACTTCTCACCTTCCTGATAAAAGTCCCAGTAAAAAAAACATTTACTTATGCAAGTTAAAAAACATTTCTGTGGGTGAGATGAAGTTAGTGCTCACAGCAAAGAATGTTGGAGACTGAAGTCATTTTAGGGGGATCATAGTGCAAACAGTCTGCAAAAGTTTTGTCAAGTACAATTAGTACTCAGATAGCAAATGTTAACAAGAAGGCAGTAAGCTGAACTTCCAAAGGTGCACCTTTTCTGATGAGACCACGAACAGCAGCAAATAGTTCACCAGGGACTGAATCCAGATTGTTAAACTCTGCTAACAAGATGGTTTGTTCAGCATGAATTTGATCTCTAGTTGATTTGAGTGAGATTTGTACCAGTAACCCAAAGATGGGTAGCTGATTTATTCAACAGTTGTACTTTCACATTTTAAATTTCTGCTATGGAATAGGTAACAGTGAGTTAGAAATGCTTTACTGGTAAACCGTGCTGAGGTTATGCAGTTGAACTAGTTTAATTAGTTTTAAGAGATAAAGGAGTGCTGGAGCAAAGTAATTCTGTAAATCTATGTGCTTATTATTGGGGTGATAACTTCTAAATAGAGTTACACATATATGGAGGCTAAGTGTTTATATTTTTCACCTGAAAACAGAAAATCTGAGTTTTCAGTTCCTGAAAAGTTTTATTAATCTGGTATAGGAACATGCATTTACCTCTAGGGCAAATAAATGTAAGCAAGAGCTTGTCTTCACAGCATTGCTTTGTTTTACAGCAGTACATAAAAATTATACATACAAGGTGCAAACTGCAATTTTGTAGGTTCCTGTTGTTCCATATTTTAGATTAATAGTTTACCCTCATTTGAACAAATAGCACAGTATTTCTTACTAGAGACCTTTCTGATATTTTGAGTTGTGAGGTGTTTGCAGCCATAGGAAAATTATGTCTTTGAAAGTTACCATACCTAAAAAAAGGCTACTGTATCTGATGCTATAAATAAGCAATATTTGCTCTAAGTATGCAATCATTTCTTCAAGGTACTAGACCAGGAAAGGGTTACTAACTATATTTTCTTAACTGATGTGAAAGTGCTCTACCAATGTAATTTACAGGAGAGAAGAATGTCATAGCTAGTGGAGGAGGACATTTTAATCACTTTAATGGTGTTACATGTAGAGCTAATGACTCCCTTTGAGTCTATTTTAAAAAAAAAAATCATATACTGTTGCTTTTGCACGTGATTAATGTTGTGCTCTTATATATGTTTTCAAATATAACAAACTTGGATACAGTCGTATGGCACACATACTCACTTTAATAAGTTAGAAATTATCCTTAAAAATATGGGGGGGGAATGTTGTTTATTTCTACATAAGTGAGCAATTTCCAACATTTTTGTAGCAGATTTGGGAGAAGATGGGAGATACAAGTAGCACACACAGTAACTGGGGGCTTGTGGGAGAGGTGACATTTCTATACTAAACCCCATCAGTTTATTGGATAAAATTTCAGTGAGTAACCTCTGAATAAAAATTGTTTTCCTGAGAGACTGAGTAATGTTATAAATTGTCTTGATGTATCAGCTGTGTTCCTTTTTCATTGAACACATTTTCTATAGATGTCCAGTCTGCATGACCCTCTGTTTGACAGAAGAATTCTACCTGGGTATTGGCTGTTTTGGTTGCATCACCTGAGCTTCACTGCTTTCATTCAGGAAAACAATGTAAAGTATTGTATACAAAGGAGAAATATGAACGCTGCTGCAATCATATATCCAAGATGTTTGTTCAGCCATAATTAAAACAATGAAGCAAAACTGGCCTGCACAAGGAGACTTCCAAGGAACAGTTATCTATGTGAGAGTGGTAGTCAGCTGTTTGGTAAAAAATCTTTCCATCCAGATCAGTGAATATCTTCATAATAGAATGAAAACATAGTCTTTCAGATTTAGTGAAAACTCTTGATAATTAAAATTCTTATGACACTTTATTAGAAAAGGAAGAAGTATAAAAAATGTTTTTCCAGACAGACTACACTTTTGGCTTGTATTGGGTCATTTTATTCAATTGGAAGTTTCTTCATTTCTGAATCTAAAATTACAATATCTTCAGTACTATTCTTGTATTTGAACTAATAACGTTCTAGTTTTAGTTACTGGAATTCTTTCCTACCCTGCATCCCATTCCTTCATCCCTCTTTGTAGTAAATAGACTTATTGAAGGCATTGGGATGTACAGAATATTTCAGTTACTTTTTACTTTGACCAAATGGACTAGAAGCATTACCAGATCTTTAGATGTGGATTTATCAGAATTTATAACTCATATTGTTGACTCCATGTCAGACGGTTTTTAGGCTGTTTCCTTTTATTGCTGTCAATAAAGGGGATTATGATGCCCTTATTTGGGTGCTTATTTTGAAAATGGCAGAATGTACATCAGTAAAATGATGAGCTGAGAGTTGATCACTTTACATGGTAATTTAAAGCTGCAGATACAGTATTCGATTAGGTTGGATGTGCAACCAAAAGAAGCAGTAAGATAATAAACATACTGTATTTGTTCAAAAAAAGGCATGCCAGGTTTGTGTGCAAGGTAAGCTCTCATTGAAGAGAGTTAAAAAAAAAAAGAGGGGTGTGTGCTATCTAGCACACAAGTCTGTCACCTCAAGCTACATAAAATTTGTTCCTGCCTCTAAGGGTAATAGCCTGACAAAGTCCTGGCACTACTTTTTTGATTTAAACCTAGAGCCATTGTATTCAAATCTCAGACAGCTTAAGAAGTTCAGTAAAAAGATAAAAAATTATTGGGTTGATTCTCTCTTTCTTAAAGAAAAATGTACATCCTTTTTATTTGAAACCCATTTTACTCTGCAGTTTCCTCATCTGTATGTAAATCTCCCCCAGGACCTCTTCTTGTTTTACAAAGAACAGAGAAGTTCTTCAAGGAATAATGTGATCACATTGTCTAGTGGGTGGCTAATCTGCTTGTCCTAGCTTTGGTGTGTGTACAGCAGTCGGTACTGAAATGTTTTGTGCTTTTTCCTTTTTTTTTTTTTTATTTTTTTTATTTTTGGTTATGTGTTATGGACCAAAAAAATTCCCTTCACAAGTGAAACATCTCAGCTAGTAGCGTGTTAAAAAAAAGAAAAAAAATCATACAAGCTGGTGGATTTCATTAAAAGAGCAAGAGCTCCATACTTTTTGTGAAAAAAAGATTTGCTGATGTCACATGTGGAGAGAAGTTCTCAAGTTCTCTTCTGCCAGGCTGGTACTGTGTTAGTGAACTATTTGGCAATAATATTTGGTTGACAGTATTTTCTCTAGGAGAAAATCATGTCTTCACACAATTGCTGCTGGACAACCGTGTCGTGATCATCATCGAATAATTATTTTACGCTTTTAGAATATTCTTCAGTAATTTTGCTTCTATATTTGAAGCTGTCGTATCCATATTTGCTTTGAGCCTCCACTTAGGACAAAATTCGTTCCTGTTACTTTCTGGAACAAGGGAGCCAGGTTGTTAGGGCTGCGTGGCTGTAGATCACAGGAAATGTGAAAGTTACTGGCCTGCAAAATTTTGAGGAGTGTTTGAAATAGCTGGCTAAAGATTTCTGGTGGATTGGCAGCTCTGGCAAACTGTAGGTCTGGTACAATTTGCCAGAGATAATAACGTGTCCTGCTAATTTCAAATTAAGTTATACCACTGACAGCCTTCTATTAAGCTTCCACAGAGAATTATGCTCCATAACCAGCAGGCATCTCTAATTTTGAAATCATGATGAATATTATATTTAATTTTCCTGCAAAGACTGTTTTTGAGGGTTGTCAGACTTGCTTCTCCTGGCTGTCTTATTCTATACAGAAAAAGTGTTTTTTGTCCATGCCTGAAATAGAATTTTAAAAATTGTAGCACCTAATTTTGTCATAAATGTTCCATTGTTATTTTTGGATCCTATCTCTCACTTGGGAAGAAAAGTTGAGTGGTTTTAGAGTCTGTGTCCGCTTCTGTTCTAAGGATAATAAGAAATTAATTTGTCTCTGCAGTAGAGGAATGAATTTCAGGTAATTCATGTCAGTGTCTTTCTGCTTTTCTGAGTTGATACAGATGTATGTTATAAATGCATTATCAATTCCTGGTCTTCTGTAAGAGCGTTGACATCTCAGAAGCTGCTATGGTGGTCTTCGTGGTCTTACTGTCAGCTGACTTCTGCATTTCCAGTGGAACTCAGATTTTTATCTGGGATAGGGGAGAGAGCTGAGGTGATTAGTACATGGTGATCTCTGTAGTGGCCCTTTAAACTATATGGCTGCAAAATGGGGTCCAGAGAGTATGAAAACTCTTCAGCCGTTGCTAGTTTTTCTGTGTAACTGTCTGCTGTATTGACATATTTTCTAAAGTCTAAACACTGGAGAAAATTTAAAAAAATACCAATTCAAAGTTAGTACCTGAATTTTGCAAGCACCAGTATAAATGCATTTTATTCCTTTACATTTCATCTCCTTCTGAGGAGAGAACAAAATTGTGAATATTACAGCGTATTCAAGTATATTAGCAAACATTGATAAAGCTTTAAGTTTAGAATCCCATATGGTGGTGTATATTCTTTTGTTTTAGTGATCCGATAATATTAATGCTTGATTTCACTTTTTGCCTAATTAGACATGCAGCTTTGACAAATGACATTCTGCTTCTCGCTGGCCAGCTCTCCTGACCTTGTCGATATTACTGATGGGTACATGTAACTATCTGCTTCAGGGAAAATTAGCGATTGTGCAATTTACGGACTTTTATGATTTTGCTACTTACTCTTCTCTTCTTCCCAGAGCAGTAAAAACTGGAGGGCAGCAGTTGACTTGTGTGGGCGGCTTCTGACTGCGCACGGTCAAGGCTATAAAAAGAGTGGACTGCCTACTAACCATACAACAGATTCTTTACAGGTACCCTTGATACTTTTTTCCTAACAATATTCACAGCGGCATTTTTTGCAACAAGATTGAACTTCTTTTCCTAATAGTTACCTAAAAACTGAGCTGATTAAAGCATTGTAGCAAGTCAGGTTTTCTGTTTGCTTATGTAAAGTAGGTCTTCATTTAAAACAAAATTCTTTTCAAGTGAAATTCTATCTTGCTTATATGTTTTTAAAGGTAATCACACTAGTAAATAGGAAGCTGTTTTGCCATCTTGGAAGTTCATGGACACTACCTAGATTGTGATCTTTGTAGTAAGATTTCAAACGTTAGAAGTGTGCTTCATGATGATAAAAAAATAAGAACCCAAATTAATAAAGGTTTGTGAAACACAACAAGTGCTTTACTGAACAAGATGTGACCAGATGACACCGCATGGTTCTGGCCCTAGTAACTATAAAGTTCATGGAATTTCACCAAAATCGTAACAGGTTTTAAGAATTGCATAAAATTGGAAAAACAATTAATAATCAGATTGATAATTTGTACATGCTAACTCAATTTAAAGATGTTCCAATTTTGAAGCAGGCTAGTTTTTAAACTTCATCTTGAAAATCTCAATACCTTTGCAAACAGTTAAAACATCAGTCCTCTTGTGTTTTGTTGTAATGATCTTATGAGAAGTATTCTGTGAAGGAGCATGTACATATACATTCTGATTCTTATCAGTAAGTAACATAGAAATTCTTTACTCAACTTTATCAGAAAAACTTAGAAAGTTGAAATAGTACTTGGATGTGGCTTGTGGTTGAAGCTCATAACAGACCTGTCTTTTCCTTTTTTTTTAATGTGTATTAATTTTCAGCTGTGGTTTGTGAGACTAGCACTGCTGGTAAAACTGAATCTATTCCAAAATGCAGAAATGGAATTTGAACCATTTGGAAATTTAGACCAGCCTGATCTTTATTACGAATATTACCCTCATGTGTACCCCGGACGAAAAGGTAAGATACTTGATTTATAAAATGCTTCTTATTTTTGCCATTTTTACCAGTCATTAGAACTAAAAAACCCTGAATCCATTATTTTATAAAGGCTGAACTTTGGATTATTCCTTTTTTATTTTTTTTTTTCCCCCAGATGAGCATGATTAACTACTATGTTAGTGTTGTTTGTGTTACGGAGGTAGTGATAAGGAGTAACAATAAGGGGTAAAACTATTCCATCACAATGTAGGTAGGTAGGCAGTGTATTGCATGATGTTGTTACAGTGTTGATTTGAAAGAGGAATGTTTTCAACAAGTGAATGTAATAAAGTAGTTTAGTTCTAGGGTATTGGAATTAAAAATTACAAACTTTAATAGTTCCTTCTATCTGGAAATAGGCAGTGAAAGGTGATGAGAGTTTGTGGAAATCAAATCTAAAAACTTTTCCTTTTAAATTTGTCCAGGTACTATCAATATACTATATTTAACACTCACATGTCCATGCACACGTGCTAACGCAGGTGTTCTTTTGTTAGATTTCCTGGTTTCTAGGATTTTGAAAAAAAATTTAAAGCTAATTTGATAATCTTCCTTAATACAAAAAAATTCTGGTTAAATGTAATATTATTTGCTTAGTAATTGAAACAAAATAGAAACGAATAATTTACTATGTATCCTGTTGTTGAAGAGGAAGGAAGACACCACCAGCCTCCATTCTTTATCAGTGGTTTATCTCAAGTTATAAATGCACTACTTCCCACTGCTCCCATTAGCCCATAGGTTAACCAAATAGTTCCACTACTCAGGGTATTCTAGTTCTCCAGGGTTCTGGATTTGAAAATTGCTGAGTTTAAGAGCAATTTCATTCAAAAAAAAGGCTATTTTGAAGTGTTCTTTTTCTAAATCTGTTATTTAGACATAAATAAATCTCTGATGCAAGTATACTGTTGAATGATCTTACTGTTCTTTAGCTTTCGTATTTGAACCATAGCATATAATAAAATGCTTGTAAGTAACAGCTGTAATGGGTAGTACCACTCTGAAAAAACATAGTCCATTTTAGATAAGATGCTGGTGGTCTCAGCAGGGTGACCTAGAACGATACTGAGATTTTGAGGTTGCTGTGGAAGGGAAGTTGGTGTCAAGAAATTTCAGGGTCTTTTGCAGCAGATTTGTTTCACCTGTTTAGTGATGCAAAGGTTCAGTTATAGCCCAGCAAGCCAATATGGACTGCCTAGAACAAGTCCCTCTGACCTTACTCATCATCTCTCAGGCAATCAGAAGCAAAAATTTCCTGTTTTGCCTTGAATATATTCAATTCACTGAGAAGGAACTGTGTTATTTTTAAGTGTGAGAGAGGTTTTGGTCATCAGGTTGGATAGCTCTTTGGATCTGGTTGTATTTTGGCAGCTTTGCACGTGGCACAGTGTTGCACAGGACTAGTCTTCCCCAGGCTGTATGTATGTTTCCACACCTCTTTCAGTATTAAAACCAAGTTATTTTGGCCTAAGAAAAGAATCCTTGCAGATCACGTCAATATTTGAGGCATTTCAGTCCTCGTGCCACAGAGCATACAGGTCACAACAGTTCTGGAGTGTCTGGCCAGCTGTTGCAGATGCCCTTCCTGTGACTGGACTTTGGATCCAATCCGTCTTTGCAGCAGCCACTCAACCACTGCAGCTATTTCATACAGATTATGGGGGTATTTATGGTAAAAAGGTGAGCGTAAGGCAAGTATTCTATGTCTCAGTTAATTTTTAACAGTTGAACATACCAACTGGGACCATAATCTGATCATCTGTAAGGAAAATAAGAGGAATGTTGGATGGAGCTGCCCTGTTGGTTGTAGATATCTCAAGGTAAATACAATGCGATTGAGATGTGGGAACAGCTATTAAACCTTCCTTATGCAGTCTTGAGGAGAGAGTGTGATGGTATTTGCAGGGATGTAGGAGAGAACAAGCAATTCTCATCTGGCTAGCATTTAAACTATGCAGCGCTGGATAAAGAAATTTAGTATACGTGCATTGTTAACCAGCTAATTTAAGTAATAAAATAGATATAAATCATTCATATATTTTGGTTGAAATATAGTAATAGAAATCCACAATCCACTGCTGTTTGATAATTTTACATATCGTTTTGTGGTGTAACAAGCATAAAAGGAAGAGGTTTTTTTAATATTTTAATTCTGATTCATGGCATATAAATCGAGTAAGCACTGAAAAATCAATTTTAAGAAATGAGAGTATAGATACAAATAAGGTACACGTTAATTGTAATGCATGTAATATTTTGCGTAGGTTTTTTGTATTCAAAATATTCATAATAAAACATGTAATAAATTAGAAACTTTTCTGCTTTTTCTATACTTGAAGTAAGGAAAGTTTATATACCTGAGGTTCTTACAGAAGTGAGGATAGTCCCTCATCCATTAATCTCTGAGAAATATACCTCAAAGGATTTAAATTCCAAGTAAACGTATGAGGAGTGCAAGATGTTTTTTCCATTAGTTTAGCTTAACATGGCCAACATGGTCCTCTTTAATTTTCCTCTGAAGCTGTCCCAAGGCTCTTTCTCTTTCGGCAATGCTACTAATCTCTGTTTTGTCCTGAGATTTTGTATGGCATTTGCAGCCACGCTGTGCCTGGATCCCATTACTGTTGTCTTCATCATGGCTGTAAGATCTAATCTTTCTGAAATCTTCCTTTCCTGGTTTCCACAGTCTCTTTTTTCGGTCATCGCCCTTGTCTGTAGGTGGGCACCATCTGGGGAGGTGGAATCTGCTGGGATCCTTGTATCAGCCAGTGAAGTTAGTTAAGTCACTCTGATCACTCCAGTTTAATACAGGGCAGAGAGCAAACCATTCTCATTTTCTAGTAAAATCTTAAAATTACTAAGTTACAGATTTGTTTCTTCTAAATTCATCTGTGGAGAGAAGCCAAAAAGTCTGATTTTATATATATCGTTGTTGGTTTTTAATAGGTAGGTACTTAGGTCAGGAACTCTGTCCCAGATTGCTTCCTGCACTTCTCCATTGTAACCTGTGGGGTATATAAGGCTGAATTTTTGTCATTGTTCTCACGACTAATGGATTTCAGTTTGGGGTTTTTTTTTAGGATTTTGTCTTCATATTTACACAGTCTGACCCACTTCTATTCATACTGTTTGTTTCTGTGTTCCTCATGATATTTCATAAACTGTCTGGTATGATAGGTCAGCTAACCTGAGATATCCTTTCCATTGGTAATGCCTGTGTGTTTCTGAACGAGTGAGAACCAACAATTAAAATGGAACATTAAAATGCTGTTTCATTCTTTTATGAGATAATTTGTTCTTGTTTCTGGTTAATAAACCAGGAAGTTACAGAAAAGTTAACACTACCAAAATCAGTGTTCTAAAGCTACAATAATTGAGATAATTTTTTTTGAATTATGAAGGGAAAAAAACACCAAACCTGTGCACAAGTAAGAATAGGACTTTTATTCCCCTAAGCAGCTGTTTGTATGCATAGGGGTGGGGTTTTTTCCTTTCCCTTTTCATTCTCCTTGTGATGATCTAGCATCATCTGTATTCCTCTAACATGAAATTAGTCTTCTGCTGTCTGGTGGAGAATAAAGGCCATATTGTTAAGTATTTAGTTGTATGTGCTCTGATTTCATACTGTACATCTTCCTAATTCTAGCACAAGTTTGTTTTAAAGCGTGGCTATGTTATGACCACAGGGATACACTAGTGCATGCTGCAATAGGCTGACACTTTGAGACGGATAGTGGCTTACAGTCCCATGTCAGACTGCTTCAATCTTGCCAGTTGCTTGGAAGAGTTCTTTGTTCAAGCTCATGTTGACAGTAAAAAACATATTAAAGCCTCTAGAGGAACTGGTTTGCCGATTATTTTGTTTACAGCACTGTGTACTATTGCCTCCTTAAAGCCACTATCTGTTCTGTTGCTGCAGAGCTACCTTCTACCTGTGAAATCACTAACACAACTTGAATAAATACCACTCAAGTGTGGTTCTGGTTGGCTATTCAGAGTAGTCAGACTTGCAAATACAGATTTTTCTGAAATAATACAGATATTTTAGTTAAGAAATATATGTCTAATTTTAAGGGGGTAGAGCACTGCTAAAATGTTTAGTTGTGTGAGGTTTTTCCCAAGGCTATGTAGTTTCTATGTAGTATTTCTTAAAAGTGAGCAAGTAACTCATTTCTAAATTGTGCCTTACTACAGTTATCAGTAGGTAAGATTTATGGTGATCTCTTTGTGGTAGTGCAATTGTTGCAGGATTTTTCTGCGTTCTTTCTCATGTTTTCCTTGCTTCAGTGCAAATCCAGATTACTGAAAAAGTATTTTTTAAACCTTTCAAAAAACAGATCTTAGTTCAGAGTATCTGTGTTCCTAGAACACGTGCAATTAAATTGTGAAGTATATGGAAACATGCAGTTTCAGATAAAATTTTCAAAACATTTTCTTTCAATGGTTACAAACATTTAGACTTCTATCTCTTCAGTCTTTCTGGAATGACAGTAATAAACAAAAGCTTGGAAACTAGGCTGTTGAATCTGGATTTTTAAGTGTACTTTTAATTGACAGTCGGTGATACTGGGATTCAAAGTTACTACATAATCACTCTTAAAAATCTCCTTATCAATTATACAAATATGCTGTTGTAGAAGTATGTAAAACTGTGCATATATAAATGCAAGGATATATATCTCTGTGTATACATATGTATGTATGAAGCAGAATATCTTTCTGAAACTGGATTTTCTGTATTTCTCTCTTACTCAGTAAAGGAAGGGTTTCTCTCTTTGTTTTGTGGTGGGGTTTTTTTGTTTGGGTTTTTTTTTTCACTGTCACAAGATCCCACTTTATACTTTAAGTAAATGATAATTTGCTGTACTGATGCTTTTGGTGTTTAAGATTTGTTGAATAAGCTGTAGAAGGCAAACCAGAAAGTATTTCTGGTTGCTAATTTTGCAGTGAGAAAATACGAAGATAAAATGGCTAGCCTT